ATTTGACTATTTATAAATTCTTCCCAAAGGGATAACTATATGTTTGATTTAGTTTAATCTACTTCACTCAACACGCTATCTTACCATAAGAGTTGAGTAAGTCGGAGTTTTAACTTTTAACTACAACTCTAACTTTAAAATTCATTCAAACTTGATCTATTTCAACTTTTGAGTGAATTTTGAATAAATTTTAGACACGTCGATCTTCTTATTTATATAAACCAAGCACGAAGTATAATTACATAATATATAACTTTCTCAACCACTTTAAGACATATCGATCTTAAGAAGAATGTTTGTTCGTAATAAAATGTGAATTAAGAAGTTGTTTGACAAAAAAATCGGTAAACATTTTAGTAAATTTTGATAAAAATTGAAGAAAAATGCAATTAAAATTGAAGTTTGACCAATTCAAAAGTTCATAATATTTAAGCAAAATTTAATCATTAAGACTTAAATCTAAATAAGTTTCTTGCTTCTATTTTCTAGTCACCTTGTTATTTAAAGTTCATATTATCACAATAATAAACTTTCCTGCCTAATTATTAAAGAAAATAACCATCCATTTTGACAAAGGCATTAGCATGTTCATAGTCCAATTTTCTCTGACCAGGAACCCATACTTTTTCTATGGTATGGTAGGTTAGGATGACTTTGATATATATATATATATTTTTCTTGTATTTTTTTTAATAATTATTTCTACATTTTCTATCTTTCAACCAAATCCGAATAAAAAACATGATTTCAGTAATTTGGTAGTGAAGAAAAAATAAGCACTTATACTAATTTCGTTAGAATGAATAGACTTCATCAACCTTCCCTTGTTTAAGCCCTATTTTTTTTTTTTTTAAATACATTCTTAAATAATATTTTGACCCTATTTCAACTATACATTTTTCTATAAGATAATATCACAAGCAAACTGAAAATTTTTCCTCATTTTTTAAGAATACATTTCCCATCAATACACTGTTCAAAAATGTATATATATATATATTTTTTTAACAAAAATGGGCTCAAACAAGGAATAATAAAAAGTAGGGGTGTATATGGTTTCATTTGGTTCTTGTTCCAGGAGGATTGAGCCATGAACCAATGATTTTTTGGTAATGGAACCAAATGATTCTTTTTTTAATTACTGATTGTGAAAAAAATAACATTTGAGAAAGAAGAATCGAAGGTAAGGCTTCAATTTCAGAAATCCATGTGATGGTGGTAGTTGAACGCGACTATAAACTGCATGTAGTAGTTGTTGATCTCTATTTGAGAGTTGGTGTATAAATTGAAAATGAGAGAAAATGAGAAACGAATTAGGTTCTAGGTGTCCAAAATAAATTAGGATCTCCAGTCTCCACAATGAGAAATGAGAAATCGAAGGTACACGATCTTTTTGCCCTGATTTTCAATTGAATTTTGAATTTCTTGTTGTAAATTGTGATTCACTAATTTGTAAATATGTATAAAATAATAAAATTTAAATATCAAGTTTGGTTCTTGATTTTATTCTTAGTTTTAAAACTAAAATCAAACCAAAGGATTCTCAGTTCTAAGAATTGGAACCATTAATTTTTTATTTTTTTCTATAACCGAACCGAACCGAACTATTCAATTTAGTTTGGTTCTGATTTGATCATTTTGTCCACCCTCAATAAAAAAGATAAGGAAAGCATCTTTATTTGTTGTCTGTTGTTTAGCAGTTTAGTATTACAACCATATACGCCTTGATTATACCTTCCTTGACACTTGACAGTAACATGTCACGTGAAATTTTGTCATTGGGCTATATCTCATCTGTCAACGAAGGGGACAGAAGAAAATGTACAAATGGTACAGTCCATAGCATTATTGTCAATTGGGTTGTGGAAAGTGGGGAAGTGGCACTATGGTCTAAATTAGACAGCAATAAATAGTCAAAAAGAGACCATGTGAATTTCTGCTTTAAATTTGATACCCTTATCTTATCCTACCAAGTCAGGTTTCCCATTTATTGGAATCAATATGTGGTATTTAGTTTCGTCATTGAATGGACCCATTCTTTAGAAGAGTCTGATATTTCAAATTGTTTGTCCGAAAAGATCGGAAGAAAAAAATGATTTTGTTTCCTCAATCAAAAAATCAAGAATTTTCCAAGTCGTCATTATTTGTGAAAACATATTCAAATCCACGAAATTCATGAGAATTTATAATTTTCAAAAAATTATCAAAATCTCAGTTGAGAACACAAAGTCGACCCACATCCCAACATAAAATTATTGGACAAACAAAATATAATACATATGTTTCTGATATTGTTCAATCCAACTTATATGAAAAAAAAACTTTAATATCCATAGTATTCATTTCAAGTCAATTCATCAATCTAAATTAATATTTCCACAATAATAATCATTTTCACTCAATTAATTAAAGAAAAATTGATTTGGCACACCAAGTTCTTCCTACTCCAATTTTCTCTGACCTTAATTTATTTTCCATGGTCTGATGCATACCATAATGATGACTTTGATTTGACCTTATAGAAGAAGACCTCAATGCCGGTCTCCCCCTATTAAGAATGATGGCTAGCTCTATTCAGAATGGAGCTAGTGTCAGTTAGCTCCATCCAGCATGGAGTTCCAGCCACTAACTCCAACTGATTTCCTTACTGGCAATTCTTCTGTATTTGGTATAATGCTAGCACTAATTTTCTATTGTATTTTTATCCCAACACTTTCCTTAAAATCGGAGCTAACAAACTCCTTTTAATCTCTAGAATCTTTATTTGTAATTATTTATACCACACTGATAATGAATGAATTAAGCTGAGCTAAATTATCATTTCCTTTCTTGCATTTCAACTCCCCCTATTAATCTTATCTAATACAATCCTCGTAGACCCTCCATTAGCAAAATTATCAAATTCATTAATTTTGACTACAAATAATGTACTAAGTCATACAAATGTAGCAGTGAATCAAATAAAGTAAATAAAAGAAATTCTTCTAGAATCTCGAATAAAGATTACACTAAATAATAAAATAATGAAATAAAATTGCAGCTTAAAAATGTGTGAATTGAATTATGAAGAGGAATTTGTAGAAACCTGTTTTTCCTTCATTAACGACTAGAAAATAGGGTAATTATAATTTATAGAATAATGCTCGTTGTACAATGTTGGGTTACAACATTGGGTTACAAACTCTCACAAGGGAGGTGGGGCCAACCATTATTTTAATCGTGGGGCCCACCTCACTTGTGAGAGTTTGTAACACAATATTGTAACTCGTGTGTTGTACATGTAGCATTTCCCATCGACAAGAGGCATATGCTCACTCATCTTTTCTGAGCCAAATTTCTAACACAACAAAGTTGAGTGTATAATTTATTTGATAGATTCTGTGTCCAAGAAAATTGGACAAGATTGATCCAAAAGTTCAATAGATTCTAGAACAGAGCATTGACAATGTATACTCTTGGGAACAGCTACATGGCATCAATTTCCTACGTGGGGAAAACTCAAAAGTCTGAACTGGACAGCAATAAATAGTCAAAAGGGACCACGTGAATTTCTGCTAAATGTCCAGGATTTAGATTTAATCCCTACCATGTGATCGTGCTATGGATAGTCAGGGTTTCCCATTCATTGGAATTAAGAAACAACATTTTTTTTCCTGTCAATTTATAAGATCAATTCCAGATGGGTTACGTCTCATGCGTGTTAAAAAGTCCAAGATTCAGTTATTTTGGGTTGAGTGAAATCCAAACGATAACCCTATCTAGCACCAGTTTTCATTGGATAATTAAATTTGATCCCATTATTATCTAGACAGGTATTAAACACCACTAAAACACATTACTCAATACAAACTGTTCAGACAGGGAATGGTCCAACCTAGAAAACAGCCAATTCCAAAGACAGGTATTTTATTAGCAGCACGTTTGACTTGGTCTAAGAAACTTACTTTTAAGTTGGTAATTGTTTTAGAGTAAATTTTACGTTACTATCAAAATAAGTAGCATTTTTTTTCCATACAAATAAAGAAAAATAATCTATCCAAACCTGTTAGAAAATCCCTATGTGGCCTGATCAGGCAAAGCCTAGCTATTCCAATCCACTATCTGGATACCGCGTAAAGTTGGCTTAAAGATGGAATTGCAATAACTTCCAAGTCCTATGCAGTTTATGTTTAATAAAATCGAAGCAGCAATCCAATTCAATTTTGACATTTTCTATTTCTATTAAAGGATGGTACAGGGATTTCTCTATATTATCAACAGCTATATATCAAAAAAACAAAATTATTGAAATAAACTGTTAATTTGAAACTTAAGATGGAAGAGATCCTAAATATTGAATGCTTTTCTACAACCGATAAGAGACCAACCTCTAACACACTGATGATATTTTATAACCTGAATGATCAGATGATGCAGACATAAAACTCAGCTTCACGCACCAATGAAGTTCATATAGATCAAACGGCCTGGGGCCATCAATTCCAGCTCAAGCGGGGCCAACATAACTGACACGAGGATGGCAAAAGTAAGCAGCAAAACGGAATTGGTAACTATCTGAGACAGAAATGAAGAGAAGCGGCAAGAGAAACACATCCATGAAGATACAAGGATCACAATATCATTCGTATGGTACACTTTCAAATCGCATTGAATCATCACAGATCAAAATAAAAGCTTAAACATAAAAGAAGAAACTAAGAAGAGAAGGGTAGAAGTGGCACCCACACATATATAGCATGTTTGGTCGACATGATCAAGGAAGAAAAAGAAACTAAAATCTTGTCTATTGTACTGTAACTCTTATCCATTACCACGAATCAAACATATCCTAACTATTTAGTCATACTCGATACAATTTATGCAGCAGAGAACTTTAGCCTTGTTATCATTGTTCTACTGCAGTAGTTGCATTGTCATTAGTAATTTCATCTGAAAGCTGAGCTTCTGACTGAACTTGAGATTCAAATATTAGGATCAGATATTGACAAGCAGAAACGAGATCAAGTGAGAGATTTCCCAGCCCATTCTCGTTCTCGTCGTTTTTGCCTGGCCTGCATTTTGTTGAATTTCTCTTTTCCTTTCTCCAAAAGTGGGTCATGCACCACATAGTCGTTCGGGTCATCACTTCGAGACATGTTATCCTGTAAAAGAATGCAAAAGAAAGCACAATTACTGCATAGGTCCACTAATGGATCCCAGGCAAAAAGTTATACTTGGGGTCAGGGCCGAATATCTCCCATTTGTGTTGAAATCAAAGTAGACATCTATTTGGAAAAATGAAAAATTTCAAAATTTAACATATTCCAAGACTTTTACATTCTGAAGTTAAAACTTAGAACTAGTACCATTCTCTGATCATTTTTCTATAGTCATCCTTTCCTGTTCGATAGATGATGCACCCATCATGCATGAGACAAGGGCAGATACGTGATTAAGAATATTGCCTCATATGAATAGCTTATGATAATTATAACAAAACAAATTTGGGGTCATATTCATATAGTTTAGCTATCTATTCCTTCGGTTTCAAAGAAGTAGAAGCCGTAGAAAAATCAGAAACATTAAAATTTGCAATTGTTTATTGCTTGGGAAAATATAGTTAAATGACAACGAACTCCTAGAGTAATGGATAATTATGCAAGCAGAATTCATGTTGTTCCGTTATTGAAGCTTGTTCCTTGATATGCATGCTTTCCCTCAATTTTCCTTCCCATTTTTATTTATCCCAAGCAAAACTCTCGATGAAACTTTATCCATTATAATTACAACTGCTGTCAAAATGTATAGGTTCTCTATGATGCATTAGAAAACTGAATAGTACCTTGCCAGCCTCAGGAGTAAACTTTAGTCCGACTCCCATCCAATCAGACAAGTTTTCGTCCTTCTTACGCACAGGTTCACCATCAGAGCCATTGGATTTGGCAGAAAATACAGATTTAAATTTCTCAAGTTTTGCTAGCACCTAGCACTCTCAAAAAATACACTAATGAGTAAATGTACTGAGAATGAAAAGAAGAAGGTAAACTGGGAAAAATAGGATACATAAAAAATTACAGAACATACACATGAAAGGTTCAAATCCAAATCTTGACACCCCTTTTTACAAATTGTTTACATCCCTGTTGTTGATATAATTTTAGATGCTTATAGATACCTCTTGAATCCCCATTCTTTCAGCAGTCAGCTAGACAATTTTTCATTTTTTTCGTCTTTCAAAAGTTGAAAGTGTAAAGCAGTATTCATATGCAAAGAGGACCTTCTCTGCAAAACATAACGTTGTAAACTGTGTTTTACCGACATGCCTCTCTCATATTTTCCCTATCGACAGAAGGCACAATCAAGGCTCCCCTACCCCCAACCACCATCCTGGAGGGCCCACTTGCTAATAAATGTCACTTCCTAGTTTTTGTAAGTTAAGCTAAAATCGATATAATATTAAAAAAAAAAATTAAAAATTGCAGCCATTTTCCATCAGGGAAAAGTGAAAAAAGTCTTCAGAAGGGGAGAAGAAGATATAAGATCGAGTGTTAATTTCCCAGGCATACTTCATCTTCCTGTCCTTGACGCCTGCGCCTCTTCTGCTTTTGCAGCCGTCTTTCTCGTTCTGCATCCCCCAGCAACTGTAAGTCTGCATCTGCATTAGCCATGCGTTCAGCCCTGGCTTCTGAGCCTATTCCCTTTTTCTTCAAGAACAACTTATCCACTTTTGGTCGTTCATCGTGATTTTCGCCATCTGACCTGGCAAATATAAAATTGTGTTATAATCTTGAGTTTTTGTATGTCATAATGTTGCAAACAACTTAAAGGGAAAAAAACTTACGAGTTACGAGCAACTTAAAGGAACAATAACTCGAAGAATTTTGTGACTATCAAATAAAACCACACACCAATAATGTATGAAAGAGATACACCATTTCACTCGGGTTAATATGGATTATGTATTTTCCCCATACATATTGATCAAAATGGTTAATCAATTTGAATGCCCCTGACCACATACACATAATAATACACAAACACAGGAAACAATGAGAAGAAGCTAAGTGCTGCATCTTTTCAGCATCGACTATTGACTGTAACTGGTTAAAGTTGAATGAGGGGAAAGATAGCCTTTAAATTTTATTTTTCAAACCAATGCTAGGTGAAATTTCCCGAAGTTAACTGAAGGAAGCACCAATTAGTTTGGCTTCCGCTACCTATAGTTTCTCTCCAGTAAACTAAGTTATAGGAGCCACATCCACAGAAATGAATGTGTGTACATCATGAGAAACTGGTGCCAAAGAAGGGTGACAAGGTGAAGTTGAGTGAAGTTGTTAGAGGCCTACAATGTAAATAGACGCTCGTGGTAAAAAGTCCTCCCTAACAATGATATGATCTTGTTCCAGAGCAGTATCAGTACATACATATCTTTTTGTTGATACACGCAGCACCTCACATAGTTAACAAAATATAGAGCATGCTTGGCAGTGCTTATAAGTGACTATAAGTTGTGGGTCCTACAAAATGAGTGGATAATAGAAGGGAAATAATTGTGGATCCTACGAAACACGTGGATAAAAAAATTTGACTGGCTTAAATTATAATTTAAGCTTTGCCAAACATGCACATAGTTATATACACTAGAAGTGCATGATTCTTAATTTGATTTCATACACAACATATGCATGTTGCATGAATCTAGCCCATGCATATGTACTGAAGATGATATATGTAGGTAAAAACATAAGAACTCAGTACAATGTGAATCGAAATGATTTTGCAACATCTGTTCTATCTTGATCACACGAGATATTGATTGGCAATAAACAACAAAACATCATGCTGAAAAGTATGGCTTATACCTTAGTGGAGATGCTGCACGATCACCTGATCTTCCATGCTCTGCACAAGCCAAATTTAAGTGTAAATGATCAGAAATACGTGTATTGTCACGTAGATGCCTAAGACAGAGGATAAGGAACATATACTCTTATAAGCAGCATGCCAGTTCCAGTTATTTTAGAGTGCCAGACAATTCTAAACAACTATCAGGACACATTTGACAATTCTGCTTAACATTCAAGTAAAAAAAAGATTGGGATTGTTTATCAATGGTAGCATCATGGTTTACAATGGATGAATCATATAATTGATATAGAATGCTTAACTGATGCAATGCAAAGTGAGAGATCATTACCTTGAACTGGTCATAGATTGCTTGCAGAAATGTATGTTGCCTCATTAAATGGGTAGAAATTTGTTGGTACACTTCATGGGGTTTGTAAACAGCCTAGGTTTCCATTTAATGAACTTGGAATATAGCTAACACTATTACCTTCTGTTTATTCTAGAACAGTCTGTAACAGTTGGCCACAGATATTAATTTGATACCTGTTATAATACCTTTAAATGTTTTGAACTTATTTAGAATAACAAGGAAGTTATCTGCATCTCGAATCTCAATTGTAGTGTCTCAAATGAATAACTTCCCCACTAAGCTATTTCAATTCACAAGCCATTAACAAGAACCTACTCCTCTTTACCATTTTCAACGATGAACAGGAAGCTCAGAATTACCACATCCAGCATACGAACTTCAGTGAAAGCAGCCTAGTATAAGTTTCCAGAATTTTATTTTATTAACTAGGTATCGTATAAAATAGCTGAAGTTAAAGAGAGAGACGGAAGTCTGAAATACAACTAATTAAATATTCTCTGAAGAAATAGGTACTTATATTAGATTATGTTTCATTTTCTATTATTTGTTCCCACTCAGCATGAACATGTACCACTCTTGAGCAGTCAAATGAAGTTGCTCTATGCACAACTCTAGGATGTGATTCAATAAAAAAACTTTTGCCATCATGAAATTGATTATAAAATTGATATTTGCTCCACAGCCATGACTTTCTATACTCAGTTAAAGAACAAAATGAAATCATCAATACGGTCATAGCGAAAGAACTAAGATGATATCATTGATATGAATGTCTACATTAAAATCAGTAGTAAAAAGTGTATTATTGTGCATTAAATTAACAAGTTTGTGGAGTTCAAAAATTCAAAAACAAAAAGTGGGAGGGAGCCAGCCTCTGATGAACGTAAGTAACCTGCCATGGCTCATGGCCTTATTAATGGCTTAGTGAAAATTAAAGTGGAAGCTGGTTCAAGTCCTGAAGAAGGCTAATCCTATCAAACCAAAATTATATCCAGACTTAAGTGGACTCCTGAGCATGCAGCAGGGCAGGGAACTGAGTCAGAAGGAGACTTCTTTCTCATATCACAAGTTCAAAAAATGACATAAAATTCAATTCAACTCACCACTGTGCAATTGTTGCTTGGTAGGCAAATCTCCAAGCTCCGTGCGTTTTCTCAGTATCTGCTGACGCATTCTTGCATCAAAACTAGCTTCATCTTCATC